ACTTTCTCACTACCTCTCAATATATATTTTTGTTGAATCATGTTAATTTCCAGATACCATGATACTTTATCCTTCAGCATTTATCTCCTAAGAGTTATCTGAATCATGTTACAATTATTATACTCAAAATGTCTTTTTAAATTTTCACTGCAAGATTGAGCCAAGGTTCATACATCAGTGAACTCAAAAGAAATTATGCAAATTAAAATAACCCAGACACAAAAGGATGAACACAGGATTCTATGCACATAGAAAACAGAATAGAGATTACCAGAGGCTTGGAAGTGGTAGGAATGGAGTTATTGACCACTGGGTACAAAATTTGTTTGGAATGAAAAAAAAAGTTCTAAAAATAGGAGTGATGGCTACAACATTTTGAATGTGCTTATACCACTGAATTGTACACTTAAAAGTGGTTGAAGCAGGGTGCAGTGGCTCATACCTGCAATCCCATACTCTAGGAGCCAGAGGCGAGAGGATTGCCTAAGCCCAAGGGTTTGAGACCAGCCTGGACAACTTGGCAAGACCTCATCTCTACAATAAATCAAAAAAATTAACTTTGCATCATGGCGCACACCACCACTTTGAAGGTTGAGGTAGAAGGATCGCCGGAACCTAGCAGGTCAAGGCTGCGGTTGCTGTGAGTATGCCACCAACTGCACTCCAGCTTAGATGACAGAGTGAGATTCCAATTCAAAAACAAAAAGTGCGTCCGTAGTTCCAGCTACTTGGAAGGCTGAGGTGGAAGAATCACCTAAGTCCAGCAGGTGGAGGTTGCGGTGGCCGTGAGCTTGCAAATGCACACAGCCTGGGCAACTGAGTGAGACTACAACTCAAACAAAAAAAAAAAGTTCGAAATAAATGGATACAAAGTTCCCATTTGGGATGATGAAAAAGTTCTATAGGCCGGGCTCAGTGGCTCAGCCTGTAATCCCAGCACTTTGGGAGGCCGAGACGAGTGGATTGCCTGAGCCCGCGGGTTCGAGACCCATCTAGGCAACTTGGCAAGACCTCATCTCTACAATAAATCAAAAATTAGCCAGGCGTGATAGCGTGCACCTGTAGTTCCGGCTACTTGGAAGACTCCAACTCAAAAAATAAACAAATAAATAAAGTTCTGAAGATAATTATGATGGTTGCACAACGTGAATGCACTTAATGTCATTGAACTGTACTTAAAGATAGCTAAAATGGTAGTTTTATATTTTACCAGTTACCTACCACCAGCAGGTAACTGATTTTATTATAGAGACGTGGGGTACAAGTGAGGATTTTTTTTTTTTTGAGTTGAAGTCTCACTCTGTCACCCAGACTGAAGTGCAGTGGCCGCTTCTGGCCACCGCAGCCTCGACCTGCTGGACTCCGGCGATCCTTCTGCCTCAGCCTTCCAAGTAGCTGGAACTACAGGCGCGCGCTACCACGCCCGGCTAATTTTTTATTTTATTGTAGAGATGAGGTCTCACCAAGTTGCCCAGGCAGGTCTCGAACCCGCGGGCTCAGGCAATCTACTCACCTCAGCCTCCTAAAGTGCTGGGATTACAGGCTGAGCCACCGAGCCCGGTTTACAAGTGAGGATTAACTACATAGTTAGGCAGCATGCAGGTGAAGTTTGGGCTTCCAACTGGCCTTCCTTCCCCTGGTACCCTTTGTGTTGTCATGTGGCCCTCGCACTCTTCCCTCCCCTAGCAGTGCCCAGAAACTGCCGATATCTCTTTTGTGTTCATGTGATTATTTTGGGGTTTTTTTTTGAGCTGGCGTCTCACTCTGTCACCCAGGCTGGTGTGCAGTGGCACACTCACGGCCACCCAAGCATTGACTGCTAGGTTCCAGCGATCCTTCCACCTCAGCCTTCTAAGTAGCCACTACCCTCCAGTCTGGGTGACAGAGCACGCGCTACCACATCTGGCTAATTTTTTGATTTATTGTAGAGATGAAGTCTTGCCAAGATGCCCAGGCTGGTCTCAAACCCGTGGACTCAGGCAATCTACTCACCACGGCCTCCCAAAGTACTAGGATTACAGGCTGAACTACCGAGCCCAGCCTCATGTGATTATTGTTCAGGGCCTATTTAACACAGCAGGATGTTTAGCAGCACCCCTGGCCTTGACGGAAGTACCTCCCCAGGTATCTCCAGAAATGGCCAAATATCCCCTGGAAAGGGGGCCACACTCTTTCCTAGCAGAGAAGCATTAACTTTGATGACTAGGTGAACATTGCTTGAAACTTTGTTCTATTCCTCAGTTCAGCCCACTGTAGTCTCCCATGGACTCAGGAATTGTACTGGTTATACCACATGACACCTGGATACATGTTCTTCAAATAAAGTTACTTTGTGAATGTAGTTTCTCTGACTTTGCACCCAGCAGAATGATAGAAAGTTCTGGAGAAGTCATGCCAGTGTGACACTTCTTTCTCTGTATTCTGACGGAGCTCAGCCCCTTCATCTACCTTTTGTATTGCCTAGAAATGTGGTAGAATCAAATAAAATAAGTTTGACAATGGTTTGACAAAATTCTTTAATAAAATTTATAAAAATGCATTTGAGGATAATTTTCTCAGCTTAAACTGTTTTCCTTTTCCACTCCCAAAGAAAATATAAAATTATCAGCACCTACACACATATACACTCAAAACTACAGAGACATTCTCTACATAGAACTAAACTAGTTAAAACTGCAGAAAAATCAAGACATTTCAAAAAGTGATTGTAGAGTTGATTTTTTTTCCTCCCAAAACATTTGACAGGCAGTAAAACTATTTCAATAAAACTCTTTCCTGTGATTGCCAAAAGTTGAAATTTGTATTTTGAATTTAAAAAGCTCCAAATTGGCTGGGCACGGTGGCTTGCCCCTATAATCCCAGCATTTTGAGAGGCCAAGGTGAGGACTGCCTGAGCTCATGAGTTCGAGATCAGCCTGGGCAACCTGGTGAGACCTCGTCTCTACAAAAAATCCAAAAAAATTAGCCAGGTATGGGTGGCATGTGCCTGTAGTTCCAGCTTCTTGGAAGGATGAGGCGGAAGGATCCTCTGAGCCCAGCAGGTCGAGGCTGCAGGGGTAGTGAGCATGCCACTGTACTATAGCCTGGGCGACAGAGTGAGACTCCACCTCAAAGTAAAATAAAAAGCTTCAAATTAAGATACTCTCAGCAGGGCACGGCGGCTCACCTATAATCCTAGCACTTTGGGAGGCCGAGGTGAGAGGATTACCTGAGCCCATGGGTTCGAAACCAGTCCGGGCAACTTGGCGACACCTCATCTCTACAATAAATCAAAACATTAGCCGGGCATGGTGGTGCATGCCTGTAGTTTCAGCTGCTTGGAAGGCTGAGGTGGAAAGATCGCCTGAGCCCAGCAGCTTGAGGCTGCGGTGGCCGGGAGTGTGCCACTACCCTCCAGTCTGGGTGACAGAGTGAGACTCCAACTCAAAAAAAAAAAAAGATTCTCCACCCCACCTGCCTTATCTTAACACCCTTTAGGGCAGTACTTTTTTTCTGTTCCTAAGAAAAAAATTGGGATTTCCAATATTCTCAGCTTTCAATCCAGACTTGGAGTTAGGCAAATGAGTCCAGATCAGCTGGCATTTTCTATAGACATCATCAAAAGCAGGCACTTGGGGACTCTAGGCTTCAGATACAGAGCATGGTATAAGGATCCTGGGTAGGAAACAGGTGTTGAGATTCCTCCATTCTTCCAGAATTTTCAGAGAGGAGGTAGACCCACTTCAATCATCAGCATGAGTTTGCTAAGTTGTCAGGCCCAAGGCCAGGCTCTTCTGCCGTCTCCACGCCTGCTTTTCATACCTCCCCTCTGTCTTTGGCCGCAGCACTTTAGGCACTATTCTAAGTCTCAGAATTCAACACTCTTGTTTCAGTGTTAAATAAACATTAAAAATTAAGTGGCACCTGAAAACTCACTACATTTTCTCATCAAGTTTCCCTGTTTAGAACCAAAGTACCCTATAATGGCGTTCACATCCCAAACATTCTTACTCAGAACAAATCAATGGATAGATGCCTATTTCAAGTTATATACTCAGGAGATAAAAAAGGAAAATCAAAGGTCTTTAGAGTATACAATGCACAGTCAAGACAAGGTCAGACCAGAACACGGTCAGACCAAGACACAAGCCTTTCACTTTCAAAAGGGCCCAGTCATTTCTACATCTCCAGACTCAGCAACATAATGAGAACTTGTCTCCACAAAATCTCCAAGAATTAGCTAGATGTGTGACGGACGCCTATGATCCCAGCTACTCAGGAGGCTAAGGTAGAAGGATCACCTGAACCCAGGAGGTGGAGGTTATGGCGAGCCATGATCATGCCACTGCACTCCAGCCTGGGTGACAGAGTGAGACCCCAACTAAAAAAAAAAAAAAAAATTTACATTAGAGAAACTCTCATCTGAGGCAAAGCAGTAGAATTCAGGAACAAAAGTAGATATAAGAACATGGAGGTTGGTGCAGTGGCTCATGTCTATATTTCCAGCAATTTGGGAAGCCAAGGTGGGAGAATTGCTTGAGCCCAGGAGTTCAAGACCAGTCTGGGCAACATAGTGAGACCTCATCTGTAAAAAATAAAAAAATAAAGAAATTAGCAGGGTGTGGTAATGTGTGTCTGTGCTCCCAGTTACTTGGGAGACTGAGGTGAAAGGGTCGCTTGAGCCCAGGAGATCAGGTTATTGTGAGATGTGATCAGGCCACTGAACTCCAATCTGGGTGACAGAGCAAGACCTTGCATCAAAAAAAAAAAAAAAAAAAAAGAGCATGGGATACCAGTGCTGTGATAAGGGTGGGAAGGAAAGCACACAAATTCAAAACAAATTTTATACACATAAAAAAAGAGAACTTGAAGTTGACTCCTCCCCATCCTCTTAAAAGTGAGACACAACCTCTTTAAAAAATCTTCAAGCAGCTGGCAGAACCTTCTGAAATTAAAGTTGGGTTTTTTTTTGAAATATTACAATTTGGGAACTTTTTGGACATCATCACCATGTAAAGAACAATGAAAGGAGAAAGAAGATTCCAGGAAGACGTCTTCTTCCTAACACACACAGATTCGAGTTGTAAAGTGGAGACCGTAACTATTCTAACTGCATCACTGACCAGTCTCTTTCTCCCAGAAACTCATCTCAAGGGAAGGGAGGCTGAAGAACCACAGCAACATTATTTCTGTGCTTCTCCTCGCACCAATTCCGGGACCCATCTCTAGAGTCCCCTAGTCGTCCTCACCGCCTCCATACATATCCGCCAGTTTCTTGAAGCGATTGCCCCATTCATTCAGATAGTCATAGTCCTGGTCTTGGTCTGACTCCGAGGAGTTCAGGGAGCTCAGACTAGCCGCTTCGGAGCCACTTCCTTCATAGTCAAAAACGAGCAGAGAGTCGTAAGGGGGCGCTGTGGGGTCACTATCCGCCGCCTTCAGGTTCTAAAGAAAGGAGACAACAGGATCTTTCAGTCAAAGGACCAACCAGCACACCCGTCACCTTCTCTCGGTGCCTCAAGCAATATTTAAGGCATGACAATGTAACAAGACTACAGAACACCATGAAGCAATGAACACCAACAAGGCGCATTCACACAAATTGGCATGGAAAAATGGACGTGGTATGCTGTTGATGAAAGGAGAAGGACACAGAAAAATATGCAGAATGCTTTCCCCTTAAACCAAAATGGAAAATTATATGTAGGCAGGGGAGATATAAGTACCAACCAATCAGGATGGGATGCCCATACATCAGGGTAGGGGCACCATGCCACCAGTCAGGGTGGGCAGAAGCTAAAAGCGATGAAGACAGTCACACTGTGCAACAGGCTAGCTTTCAGCCCAGAAAGTTCTAGAAGGATGAGAGCCCCAATTTTTTTTTTTTTTGAGTTGGGGTCTCACTCTGTCGCCCAGACTGGAGTGCAGTGGCCGCTCCCGGCCACCGCAGCCTCGACCTGCTGGGCTCCGGCGATCCTTCTGCCTCAGTCTTCCAAGTAGTTGGAACTACAGGCACGCGCTACCACGCCCAGTTTATTTATTTATTTTTAATTTTTTAATTTTTTTGAGTTGGAGTCTTACTCTGTCAACCAGACTGGAGTGCAGTGGCCACTCCTGGCCACCGCAGCCTCAACCTGCTGGGCTCCGGCAATTCTTTCGCCTCAGCCTTCCAGGTAGCTGGAATTACAGGCACGCACTACCATGCCCAGCTAATTTTTTTGATATATTGTAGAGATGAGGTCTTGCCAAGTTGCCCAGGTGGGTCTCGAACCCGTGGGCTCAAGCAATCCACTCACCTCAGCTCCCCAAAGGCACGGGATTATAGGCTGAGCCACCGAGCCCGGCTTATTTTTTTCTTTATATACTTAATTTTTCATAGTTTATATATACATATATAGTTTGTTTGTTTGTTTGTTTGAATCAGAGTTTCACTCTGTCACCCAGACTGCAGTGCAGTGGCAGGCTCATGGCCACTGCAGCCTCGATCTGCTGGATTCAGGCAATCCTTCTGCTTCAGCCTTCCAAGTAGCTAAAACTACTGATGTGCGCCACCATGCCCAGCTAATTTTTCTTGACTTATTGTAGAGATGAGGTCTCACCAAGTTGCCCAGGGTGGTCACAAACTCTTAGGCTCAGGTAATCCTCTCACCTCGGCCTCCCAAAGTGCCAGGATTATAGGGATGAGCCACCACACCCAGTCTAATTTAAATTTTTTAAATAGCAAGCATATTATTTTTATAATTTAAATTAAAACTACAAATATATGTGATGACTTGCAAATTAATGTGAATGGAGGAAGGGATCTGAATCCAGATTAATCTAAAAGGGATTGTGTTGGGTGTGGTGATTCGCATCTATAATTCCGGCACTTTGGGAGGTTAAGGTAGGAGGACCGCTTGAGCTCAGGAGTTGGAGACCAGCTTGGGAAAACACAGTGAGACCTCATCTCTACAAAAAACAAAAAATTAGCTGAAAGTGGTGGCACATGCCTGTAATCTCAGCTACTTGAGAGGCTGAGGCAGGAGGATTGCTTGAGCCCTGGAGTTCAAGGTTATAGTGAGCCATGATTGTGCCACTGCACAATCATGTGAGACCCCCCCAACTTGAATGAATGGGATGGGTAAACTGGTTCTTTCTGTTTCTGGTTTTCACTGAGGATCCAGTAGCTGGAATGGATGCGACATGGTTACTTCAGCATTGCTGTTGTGCCTTATATAGTCCTCAGTGACAACAGCTGCCGTAGGAGGCTAAAGTGAAGCCAGCTCTCACCCTGAAGATTCACTGAGGGTTACTGGACCACCAGACAAGCCCTGAAGATCATTTCAGTAACTATTCCCTTACTGGGTTCTTTCTCATCTTATCCTAAGCTAATTAACTTAATGCCTCATTATTTTCCTTTGAAAGTAGGAATAACTCTGTGATAGTTTTGGCCAATAACATGTTGGATGACTACCTTGTTGAATAAGAAGATGGCTTGCTAGAAGAAAGATTTTTACCCTCTGCTTTGCCCTTCATACCTCTTTTTTTTTTTTGAGTTGGAGTCTCACTCTGTCACCCAGACTGGAGTGCATTGGCCGCTCCCGGCCACTGCAGCCTCGACCTGCTGGGCGCCGGCGATCCCTCCGCTTCAGCCTTCCAAGTAGCTGGAACTACAGGCGCGCGCTACCATGCCCAGCTGATTTTTTATTTTATTGTAGAGATGAGGTCTCACCTGCCCAGGCGGGTCTCAAACCCGCGGGCTCAGGCAGTCCACTCACCTCAGCCTCCCAA